TCATAAAATATATTATTTTGTATTCATAACTACACAATTTCCATAATATTATTCATTACTATATTATATTTATATTTTATTATTTAAATTACCTTTCTATTAATTAGTAATTTGTTGCACAATTTTTACTATTATTTTTTTATTTTCCTGTGTACTATACAAAAAAAAAACTATTATTGAATTTTATTATTAGCCCAAAATTGAGGCCGAATTTTYTGTTTAGCCARGGGTGATTTTTCTTCTCAGTCCGCCCTGTAAGCTGTACCATACTGATACTTTTTATAGTATGTAATGTATAATAGTTTGCAACTTATATATTAAACATTGTCATAATTGATATTTTTATACCACAAAACTGAAAACTTTAATATAAAATATTACATATCTAATTAAATATCCAGAAAAATGTAATTATTGAATTATTGGTGAATGATTCAGTTACCTGTAACGGGTATTTTTTGTGGTCTTTCTATCAAAAAAAACCTTGATATWATAAGGAGCTCCTGTATTTAGTATGAATGAATACATTCATTAACTTAAATAGTGGGTGATCGCCAGTGAGGCGGTGAGTAAATGAAAGTAATTTAATTACACCTAAATTAATTTTTCAAATATCATTGGCATGGCCCACTCTTTTACAACAGGCTGCACAATACCTAAGCTTATAAGCAGGGCTCATATTTATATGCAAATGCATATTCATCTACAATTTACCGAGAACAATTTTGATCATAAATTTCGATGTTTTAATCGATTCATAAGGTGTAGATTCTAAGGTTAATTTTTTTTTTTTGCATATTTTGCATATTTAAATGAAAATGCATATTATAGCATATTTCTTGATATTTGCATAAATGTTGCATATTCTACAATTATAATAAAAATTAACAGCAATAATAATAATTAATAATCATTATAATTCTATCTTTGTTCATTAAAATAGTCATGTTTACGTCAGTACATATACTTACTGTTGATAGTAAATAACCTATAATAATAATGCACATCGATAAGTTATAGACAAATAACAAAAAATATTGGATTTTATAGTGGTAAATTTATAATTATACGATTAAATTAGAGTTAGACAAGTTATAGTATATGTACACTGTACACATACTGTAAATGTCTTTAAAAATTGTATCTGGCATTTTGTTTTAAGTTAACTTTTTTATGCATATATTTAGATTGTGTAATATTTTTACTTGAAATCGTATAGTTTATTAATTTGTAAAAAAAAATTTGCATTTTATAGATTTTTATTGCATATAAATCCCGGGCGGCCTTACTTATAAGTGTAATTATTTTTAATTTTGTAATTCTAATGAATATAATGGGTCCCTAAAACATAATTTTTTGGCCTATGGTTAACTTATTAAATTTTAGTAGACTATTAGTTAATTGCTTTTAAAATCCAACAATAGTATTTTTTTTTATATCTAAAATGTCAATTAAAAGTCTCAGTTAACACTTTCCAACATCATAAGAAAAAATGTAAAAATAATACATAAACAAATATTCATAAATGTGTGTATTAAAATTAATGTACATCTTGATGTAAATATTAAATTATTGTCAAAAAATATGAAATTGACAATTGTTATAGTTAAATTTCTAAAGGGGGATATATTATAATAAAAGAGTAAATTATAWWATTTCTTAGAACATTTAGAACAGCTTAAAATATTTATTAATGTTCAACTTCTCTTACAGGCAAGTGTATTGTGGATCATTTAGAAAAATAGTTAACTTCTCCAAGACTAGTTAAACTTTCAGCTTCACTTTCAACTTCTTGAGTAGACTGTTTCAATGAAATCTATATTTTGACAACAAATAACAAACATTAACTTTAAATAGTTTACACAATATGGTTTTTCAATGTTTACATCAACCTCATAATTATTTACACATATTGGTATTAAGTTTACTTGGTCTGTGGTAGGGACCAAGGATAAAAGACCAAAGTAGAGGGATTCAATTAGACTCGACTATTCTACTTCTGAGTGCTGTTATAACGTATAATTTTTAACATTTTCTTTAAGAGTAATGCTGAATGTTTTTATACACTAAAATTGTATTTAAACAACTTCCTCTGTTAAACATAATATTTATTTTTGAACTACCTACTTATCAACATTTTAATTTTTAAAGTTATATTATTGAATCTATTGTAGTTTGATACAAATATTACCAAACAAAGTACTTGATTCAATTTAGTTAATGATTTCACTATTCTCTATTTTATATACTCTATGTTAATATACTTTTCATTATATGTATTTAATGTAATGCAGATAATATTATAATAATAATATAATACAGTCACCAAATATTTGGGACTAGAGTAATGAGTTTATTAACCAAATTAATTTGTCCATGCAATGATTAATATTTATCATTATCGTGTATTTTATTTATRTATAACATAAACAGTATCATTCATAAAGAAAAAAAAGCATGAAAAATTATAATGATAAAATATTTTTTTCAAAATATAATTGATAAAACTGTGAAAATAGACTAAAATTTGAGGAAATTTGCCTTTAAAAATATATATTGATCTCATTACCACTTGAATATATTTTATAACCATTAATTTCTTGTACTGTTT